TTTCCCTCCCAATCTTACTACCAGCAGAATGTGAGAGCCAGAGAGAGCCTTTCAAGTCCGAATTCTGTCCTTTGACTCTTCTGATGGGGCCTTCTGGGAAAATGAATTATTTCCTTATCTCAGCAGCAAAGAAACAACTGTCCAAAGGCAGTAGCAGCTCTGGAAATATTGATGATAAAATGAACCGATAAATTCAAATTCAAATTGGCTGCTGATAAACTGCATCGATAAGTTCATTTGCTCATTTCTTTTACAAATGTTTACTGATAGGCTGGGAAGGTGGCTTAGTGGCAGAGTGCTTGTCTAGCATGCATGAGGCCCTGGTTTGATTCCTTAGTACCATATAAACAAAACATTAAAAAAATCTGAAGAAACTTTAGGATGTATTTGGGAATAAAAACCAAGTATTTATTGAACATCTTTCTGCCATGTGCAGAATTAGCTGTAAGCAAGAGAGTGGAGGCTCCTGCCCCAAAGCAGAGAGGGAGGGTACCCAGAAAAACAAGAATACGTTGGTTACAGAGGGTTAAGGTTGTTGAAGGCAGCAAAATAAGGTTCTAGGGTGGAGGAAGGGGGTGGTCGGAGGTCCTCAGAGACCTGCTGACACAGGAGACTGGAATAATGAAGTCATATTTGAACAGCACATCCCTGGGGAGCAGAAAAGTCCCCTGGCAGGAACAAGCTGGGGCTGAAAGAAAAAGCATCAGAAAAGGCCAGTGGCCAGGTACTAATGGCTCATACCTATAATCCTAGATACTCAGGTGGCTGAGATCTGAGGATCATGGTTCAAAGCCAACTCAGTAGGAAAGTCCATGAGACTCATCTCTATTAACCAACAAAAAGCTACAAGTGTAGCTGTAGCTCAAGTGGTAGAGTGCCAGCCTTGAGTGAAAAGCTAATGGTCAGCACCCAGGTCCTAAGTTCAAGCCCCAGTACCCACCTATCCCCCCACACCCACATAGTGACCGTAGAGACCCAGTAACTAACGCTTCCTAAGCTACATGTGGCAGAAATTGCAGGGCACCCTTTCCTACCCGTTTCTGGTCCATCCTTCTCCTGTAGTAATAAAACTCCCAACTTGTACATGGTTGTCAGTAACCACACCTACCCCATTTCCCAGCGTTTTACAGAGAATTCCTCCATCTCTTAGCAAAGCTGGGCTTTCCGTATACCTTCCCTATCTACACCTGATGAAGGTGTTGATGGGAGCTGCTTGGGGAAATCTGCAAGTGACAACAGGAAGGAAATGTACTTCTCCTTCTTCTTCCAGAAATGATTTTCATATTCGTATGAAACTGTACTATAGTCATATGAAGCAGCCTTTTGTCACCCAGAGCAGTGAAGAAATTGAGACCTAGAGAGGGTTAGTTTGGTCTTGAATTTATACCTTCTTCTGAAAGCATCAACAGCAGAATCATCATGGATATTTCCTTTCCTCTCTCCATTACTGTCTTCTCTTCCTTCTCCTTCTTTTTCTTCTTCCTCTTCCTCCTTTTTTTTATTTCTTCTTCTCTTTCTTTTTGGTATCAGTACTGGGGCTTGAACTCAGGGGCCGATGTGCTGTCCTTAAGGCTGTTACTCTACTACGTGAGCCACAGTTCCACTTCCAACTTTTTGGTAGTTTTTGGAGATAAGATCTCATGGACTTTCCTGCTTAGGCTGTCTTGGAATGTGGATCTTCAGCTCTCAGACTCCTGAGAAGCTAGGATTTCAGGCATGAGCCACCAGCTCATCTGTTCCATCTGTTTAATTTTCTCCTTCTTTTTTCTTCCTCTCCTTTCCCCTCTCTTTCTCACTGCTTATGCCCTTTTCTCTCTTCTCTTCTTCCTTCTCTATTTGCAAGCCCTGAAAGGAAAGGCTGCTCTCAGAACCTAGTCATGAGTGAATCACTTGTGTAGTTGCGGTTTACCTACCTGTAGCAAATTTGTACCTAAGATTCCTGCATGCTGTAGGCAAATGGTTTTTAATTCAACTCTACAAATATTGACTGTGCTCTGGCTAACTGAGTGTACTTTGTGCTAGCAATGCTAGACAGTTGCAAACGGGCAGAGTCATCATCAGAGGAGCCAGCCAGGCCCCTGGCTGATGTTGGCAGAAGACACACCCCTTCCCAAGGATGCTAAAGAGCTCTCTGTCTGCCATGCATCCCCTGCCCAGTAAATCACAGAAAAGGGTGTTACTGACAGTTCTGCAAGACCTTAACAGGACAGTGTGCTATAGGCATCCACAGGAATTTTGTAGAGCTGGGTCTGCAGGGCTTGGAGGGCCAGGTTCAGTGTTGATGACACACACGCTGGAATTGGGTTTTTTGCATCCATATTCTCATCTCATATAAACCTTACAAAATTCACCTTAGTAGGACTTTCTCCTCAACAAAAATTTCAGGAGCACGCTGGCCTTGAGACTTGGCAAACTCTAGCCTCATTTGTATGCTGTGGGCTGTAGAGAGAGTAAGAAGAGCAAGCCAGGCTCCTTGGTGGCACAGTGCCATCTTACTGATGCTCTTGAGGCATAAGGAATTTAGAACCAAAAGAGAGAGAAATGGGGTTCAAGGAGTAATGGAGGGGCATTATCCCATATTCAGAATGGAGGTGTGGCTCCAGACTTGAGTGAAAAAAAAGCCAGTGAGAACACAAGGCCCTACGTTCAAGCCCCAGGACTGCTACCATGCACAAAACTTCCTGTGCAACCCATCTGGCCACCCACAGTAGATGTGTGATAAGGGAAAAGGAATCTGCATAACGTTGCCAGCCCTGCCTACTACATTCAAAAAGCAAAAACCTGACTTTAGAAGTAGTCTTCTCTTCAGTTCTTTCCAGCATTGAAAAGATAGGCATCTCCTTTCTTCTCAGTCTTCTCAGTGTGTCATTTACCTTGCCAAATAGACAGTGGCAAGGTTTTATAAGGCTCAGAAAGGAAAGACCATAATAAGGTTACTTGTCTTTGGTCAATTTATAAGGGAGACAAGAAATGGAATCTTTTCTTTACCCCAGTATAATCTAACTTAACTTCCTGGTCCAAGAGGATATCACCTGTCGATCTGTGGCTTTTCCTGCCATCAGTATGCTGGCATGAGATGGAGATGAGGGGGACTTGGTCCTCCAGGAAGGAGTTCAACCTAAGTACAGTGGCCCAAGAGGGGTTTGTATGTAGTGCTCATAACATGCATAAGGAAGAAGGCCACTTCAGGTGAGAAATTAGAGAAGACATCTGGAAGAGGTACAGATTACCCACTATCAGACTTTCCCCTCCCTGTGTGTGTGGACTGATCCCAGATGGTGAGAATGTAAAAATAGATACAGGGCATGTGGCCCAACCCACCCAACCCCCGAAGCCCACAAGGAATTAGAATTCTGAACTCTCCTTTGGCCCTGTGACCTCCTATACTGTCTTAGGAGAATTCAGGTTTTTGCATATCTGGTTGTTTGGTTTTCTGCCCTGGGAGGTGAGAGGCTAGTGGGTGACATGTGTGTGAATCCCTTCCCTTTGCTGCTCCAGGCAAAGGCATCCTGCAAACACTTTCCTAGGTCTGCCCCTGCAAAGACCCCTTGCCTTGGGTGAGGGAGGTGGCGCAGTTCCCACCCCAATCTCCTAAGGGGAAATCCCTAGACAGTGGCTTTTACTGGAGCCGATTCTGCTTGGCATGCTTTTTCTGAGGAGCTGTGCATTCACAGGTGAGGACAAATGAATCCAGCACAACCCGATGCAAAAATATTGTGCTATGTAATTGATTGTCTTCTGGAATCAAAGACAAGCTGCTGACTAGTTATTCTCCCCTCCATGCTACTATCTCCTGGAGGAAGAGATCCAAGGTTGCAGAGGGGTTTTGCTGCTCGGATCAAACTTGACAAGTTGTTTCTGTTGTCAAATCGAGGGGAGGATAAGGCCCATTACACCCAGATTCAATACAAATTTATCAAACGTTGCAAGAGGCATCTAAAGGCACAGTGCCTTATTTTATTATTGAGTTAGTAGTAGTGTAATGATGACTTGATACTAAGGCACACAAATTAGTCTTTACAATAACATCTCCCCCCTCTCCCCGGCATACAAGTCATCATTATACTATATTCCCATATATTTACTTTATGGATTCCCAAACTACTGAAATAAATGGGGCTGGAAATTTGAAATCCCCACCCTTGTACAACACAGGAGAGCAGTACCATCGTTCAGCTCATCCTCCTTGAAGAAGGCCAGCAGGCAGGCTTTCCCTGTGTCAGTCTGTCTGTCAATCCCTGTTACTACTCTTGTGCACTTTGAATAATTTGGAGGAAGCTCTACCCTTGCGGGGGGGAACTACAATTTTTAAAAATCCACAAAACCCCTTTGGCACTTTGAGAGGTGGGAGTGAAGATGTGCATCACATACCTACATACTCCTCCCCTCCCCTGGGAAAGCTCAGCTGTCCCCGGGACTCCCTGGGCCCCCTGCCCCTCCCCCCAACCCCCAGCCCAGTGCATTTTCCCTAACCTTGATTTCTCAGTCATCCCTATCTAACTCCTGGATCTGAGACCTACCTTTTTGATGGATGCGGGGTAAAAAGGGCACAGGCTTCCGGGAAGCTGGGGTGGGGGCAACTTTCCTTGCTACCTGGCCCCAGGGATTTAAGATGGTCCCTCTTTACCCTCCCTCCATTTCCACGCCCTCCTCCTGCTCCCCTTGGACACCCATCCTGGCCATTCCCCTCTCCAATCTGAGGCAGGTTTTATTCCTATTTTTGTCTCCCCCTCTGGGTTTTTTTTTTTTTTTGTCCTGGAGACGCTGACACGACCTCTAGACGGCGTGCGAGCCCGGCTGAGGGCTTTTGGGACCCTGCGGGAGCGCCGCGCGCGCTCCGGACTCCCCGGGAAACAGCTGGACGCGACCATGTCCCCGGTAGGGGCGGGGGGGTGGCGACGCTCCGCCCCCCGGCGGCGCCCCGCCCTCCTCCCCGGTCCGCAGGCGCCCTCCCCTCGCCCGGGGCTGCGAGTTGCATTTGGTAAAGCCCAGCCCCCGGAATATATAGATCATTGGAGCGCAATGAAGTAGCCTTTGGAGCAGGGAGGGGGGACCCCGTCCGACAACCACCGCCGCCACAGCGCACGGCAGCGGCGGCCGCGCCACCATCACCGCTCGCACCCGAGTCGCCCGGCCCACGAGGAGGCAACGGCCGCCGCCGCCGCCTCCGGAGGGAGCGGCGAGACGACCGGCCAGGAGCGCGCCCCGGCCGGCCACCTTCCCCCGGGTACTTCCAGAGCAAGTCCGGTGTCTTCCACACCCCCTCCCCGGTTCCCGGGCTGGGGACTCCGGAGAGCCGCTGCAAAAATCTAAGCGATCCGCCCTCCCGAGCCCTTCGCCCGGCCCTGCCCTGCGCCTCCCCGGCTGGGATCCGCGTGCCGGGGTCCCTGCTCCTGCGCCCGGGGCGCGTCTCCGGACCCCCCACCCCCCACCCCGCCATCGATCCACCTCCGGCAGCCAGGACAAAGCCATGAAGCCGGCGCTGCTGGAAGTGATGAGGATGAACAGAATGTGCCGGATGGTGCTGGCCACTTGCTTGGGATCCTTTATCCTGGTCATCTTCTATTTCCAAAGTATGTTGCACCCAGGTAGGGGGCGCATTAGCGTGGTTTTGTTGGATATTTTCTTCTCTCCTCGCCCTCTGGCTCACTCGCTCTGCCTGGGTTTCTGCCTCTTTCCAGCCTTACCTCTTCTCCCGGGCTCCCGGGGCTGGCTACAGCCATCCACCCGGTCATCGGGATGGAGAGGAGGAAAGGTGTGCGCCGGCCTTCCTCGTCCTCTTCTTCTTCTTCTTCCTCCGGGCTGCAGATGGGACTGGGGAGGACGGCAGTGTCCCCCACCTCCCAACCTCCCTTCCTTGTCTTGTTCTCTTTGTGTGTGTGTGTGTGTGTGTGTGTGTGTGTTAGGAAGCAGGCAGAGGTGGGGAGAGATGCCAGGTTGGGGCGGGGTGGGGGGGTTGGTTGGAAGGGAATGAAAACTCCCGTCTCTGCCCCTGCCCAGCTCTTGGGGTTGGAAGAGGCGCCCGGAGCCGCTGCCCTGCGCCCCGGGGCGCGCGAGGCAGCTGCGCCGCCGCCTCTTCTTGGGCTGGAGACCCGGGCTTGAAGGGTGCTCGCTCGGCCGGGGTTTCGAATCTCCTGCTTGGGATTGGAACACCCGAGGCCGAGCTTCCACGTGTTCCGGGCTGGGTGGGAGGTGCAGAGTAGGTGTGGGGCTGGGAGAAGCCGAAGGGGTTCCGTCAGACCCCCCCCTTTCCCCCAGCACAGCCTGGGGTCCAGCCCCCTCAGCGACCTTGCACCCGGTGCCTTGGGGAGAAGTGTGTGTGTGTGTGTGGGGGGGGGGTGTTGGGGTTTGGTCAGCCCTCTTCCCAGGATCATCTCCCCTCTCCCCTGTCCATACCCTGAGCAGCGAGCTCAGGTCATGTGTAGGCTACCTGAGTTCTTTTTGGGGGGCGCGGCGTGCTGGGGAGGTGTGTGGGGGGGGACTCGGGTCATACCATTGCTTTGCTTCCCTGTGCCCTGGCCAGGCGGGACTCAACCTCTGCTCCGATCTCCCGTGGTTGAGGCAGATGCGCACGGACGCAGCCGAAGGCCGGGCCTCCCCACTTTGGAAAGGGGGCGCCTTGGAAAGTTTGGGACTGGAGTGGGGAGAGAGCGGCGCCCTCAAGCGCTGCAGCCGGGCCGCTCGGCTCAGCTCCGAAGCCCAACAGGTAGAATCCTGAGCTGACCAGGGGTGAACGCGGGTCCTCGATCCTCGTTTCTTCTCGCTGGGCCACGGTGGCTCCGAGATCCATTTCTTTTTTCCGCCTCCGAGTCCCCCAACCCCCCGCCCCCCAGCGGCCTCCCTGAAAGAATTGGCTTTTCTGATCGCAAGAAGAGAGGCAGAAACGCATTTCTTTGCAGGGAAATAGGGTCGGTCCCTTTTTTGTGCATGTCTCCCCTTACTCCTTTCAGCGTATACCTAACACTTCCAGCAGACACAGACCGCTGATTCATCAAACCCCTGTGTCTTGGTGGATGGCAGAGCAATCAAGCTGCTCTTCGCATCCAACAGACCCGGCAGCGGCTGTGTGATTCTTTGACAGCGCTGGGACCCACTGGCCCCTCTTCCCTGTTGGGCCTTGGAGCAGTTGTTAAGGTCGCCAGGCTGCCAAGAATATGGTCTGACATTACCACATGGAACCTTAGGACATCTGAGCCAGCCCTGTAAAAGATGGCTTTTGTTTGCAGCTGGGTATTTTTAGTTTAATGTTAGTAGCCAGAGCGGTGTTTGTCTCTTCACTCAAACCTGTGGTTGTGAAACTTCCAAGGGAATTTAAAAATGGACCTTGCTGGCCTTCCCGCAGCTTAGGCGGTGGTGGCAACAGGCAGGACTAGACAGACAGGCATCTCAATGCCAAGCTCCAAGGGCCACCCAAAAGACCGCCAGGGTTAGATGCTCCCGAGAGAGGACAGGCTGGTGTGGAAATATAATGGGGCCCAGCAGTGTTAAACAAAGGCCCTGATGCTTTGCTTTTGACTCGGAGATGTGTTCAGGCCTATTCCACTTGGGCTGCGATGGTGCGTGCCAGGTAATTCTCTGAAGAAATACCTGGAAGAGGGTTTAGTAGCAGCTTCCAGCAGGAATGTACTTCAGGAGGAATATACCTGTGAATTGTTCAGTGAAATTCCATTTCATGGATCCTGTGGGGGAGATTAGAAAATAACTGTGTAGTCAAAGATGTTAGGAAGAAAGTTTGAACTGTCATAGGCCCTGCTCTCCCTCTTGCCTTCCCTTCCTCTTCCCCTTTCTCTTTCCCCTTTCCTTTTCCTTTTCCCTCTCCCTCTCCTCCTCTCTCTCTTTCCCTTTCCTTCTTTCTCTCCCTCCCTCCCTTTCTCTCTCTCCTTCCTTCCTTCCTTCCTTCTTTTCTTTTCTCTTCTTTTCTTTCTTTCATGCTAGCACTGGGGCTTGAACTCATAGCCTCTTGCTCTTGCTTAGCTTTATTGCTCAAGGCTGGCACTCTTCTATTTGAGCCACACCTTCATTTCCAGCATTTTGCTGGTTAGAAAGTCTCTAGGATTTGTCTGCCTGGATTGGCCTCGGACTGCAATCCTCAGATCTCTGCCTCCTGAGTAGCTAGCATGAGAGATGAGAGTCCCTGGAGCCTGGCCAGAGGCATGACTTTTCTAAGCTTTTCTGGCCATAAGCTTAATTTTGCCCAGCCCTTTGCTTCTTTTTCCTACCAAAAAAATGGTATTGGTTTGAAATTCACATCTTTATAAGTCTGCTTTTCTGAGATTTTTTCCCACCCAGATCATATCAAATATTACTTTAATAGAGTTCAATTGAGAGGTTTTATATATATGTAACCATAAGAACTACGTCAATGAATTATTATTACGTGGAGCTAAAAATATGCTTTGAAATCTATATTAAACACTTGTTCTTTTGGGGGAGAGGGTTTAATTTGCTGAACTCTACTGTTGATCATGGTTGATGTTAAATTTTTTTTTCTTTCTAGTGCTTTGAATTTAAAAGTTCTACCATATTTGCATCTGGGAAGGATCACAGAGCAAGGATAGCTGGTCTTTTGGCTTGAGTCTATCATTTGAGTTTCTGTAGATCAGCCTTGGAGAGGCAGAAAGGACCACAGCATGGCCCAGATTATGTTGCTAAAAATTTGAAGTCCTTTGGCAGGAATTCTAAACACCTATATGTGAATCAGAAAAGTAATATTGCAGAAGAAATGAGCTGCAGGCCTGCGGTGTCCAGAGGGTGTGAGGAGGGAGGGAAGAAATAAAGAAGACAGCTGGCTGGGGGCTGGCTGTCCTTCCTGATTCTAACCTGGGATCCATTGTCTCCTGTTCTTCTAACTCCCAAGCTTGAGTAATTTGTGAATTTGAGTAATTGGCCATCAAGTACTTCGCTATCAATTACAGCATAGACTGGCGGTTTAGCAGAAGTGGGCCTTGTCAATTAAGCAGTTTTACTTTAGTCATCTTTGGCCCTCTGAGATAATAGTCTTCATGAAGAATAGGTTTTGGGCCAGGGACTAGGTTTGGGGCTCCATTCTAGTTTATAGGTTTTGTACAGGGTCTGGCACTGTAGTAAGTTCTCTATAGAATATTTGCTGGCTGATGCATGAAGTAGCCTCTGTGTGTCTAGTTCCAGAAGGTACGTTTAACCGAATGCCTGGCCTGTACTTTGGCTCTTTCGGAGGTTGGCAGGGACATTTCCCTGCCTTCCTAGATTCTGAGTTCAATATCATCAGGACCAGACTGAAGCTTTCACCATGGCCTGAATGCATTGCTCAGGGTCCTGGCTACTGGGTAAAGGTGGCCATAGTTAGTGGATTTAGACAAATCCACATTCAAGACAGACACCTCCTTGTAAGTGTGACCTACTCCTAAATGGACAAGATGGGAGCCACATACCTGTGGTTTCTGCTTTTCTGCATCTGTTGAGTCCTTGCATGAATGCAGCCTGTCAGAGTTCCACTCCTTACATTAAAACATCTCACATACCTGCTGCTGACAGGGGGCTTTGGTGGGGCTGAGCAGGCAGCGCAAAGCTGAGAGGCCCCAGGCAGAGTCCCTGTGAAGAGAACCATCCCTTTGTGTTACTCAGTAAGATTGTGGTTTTTATTTGAAAGCTACTGTTCATAGAGACAAGCCTGCCAAGGAGAAAAACATCTCTCCTCTCCCCCCCCCACCCTCCTTCACCCCATTGCTGTATGTTTACTCTCCCTCACCTGGGATTTCTTTGCCTTGTCTGGACAGATGATAGCTTTGGGTAAATTTGATCAAAGTACATCCCCTGAAAATGTGGAACTGTCACAATGAAACCCCTTTGTACTATTAATTTATGCTTATGCAGAAAAAGAGATTAGAACAGTTCACTTGATCAGGTGGGCTATAAAATGAATTTGGAGATATAACTTTAACTGATCACTTAATCTCCAGGTTTATGCTCATTATAGAAATTCTGGGATGTCCCAAACAGAAACTTTAATACGTATTTTTCTATCAGGCAGAGGCAACTGGCTCCTTCTTCTCTCCTTTAAAAAATACATATTCAGGTTAAGCAATCTCCATCAGAAAATCTGAAATTCAAAATGCTCCAAAATTTGAAAGCTTTGGAGAGTCTTATGATAGTCACACCCTGTGGTATTATATAAAATGATGTATGAGGTGATGGAGAGAAAAGAATTTCATATTTAGATGTGGGTCTAATCCAGAAGTATCCAAAATCTGAAAACCACTCGAACTCTGAAACACTTCTGGTCCCAAACATTTTAGATAAGGAATACTTAACCTGTATACATAATAAAAAATCAGTTGAGGTCACTGCATTTTGAATTTGGTTGATATATTTCTGGATCTCTGAGTATCTCCCCTATGCTATCATACACACCTATACACACGCACACACACACACCCATTTTATCTAAGTAATTAAATTCAAAATCCTTTATTTTCAAACAAATAATTATATTTCAGAAACTATATCATTATGGTAACTACCTATTAAATTTAAATATACAAAATTTAGCTACGCTTTGCGTTTGTATTTATGTGCTGGCTCTGAGGCTTGAATT